TGTATGTCCGGGCATGTAGTGATCCAACTCTCACTTTGCTAATTTTTGGTGGCTGTGCCCACAACCTTTTTTGAGGGCTGGATCCGCGCCAGGGCCCTATTATACGTAGTTGTAATACTTTTGAATTAAAAGACGTCCACAGCTGAACAAAGGCCTCCCCCAAGGATTTCACAACCACCGGTCCCCACCGGTCCTACGCTAGCCACATCTAAGCGCTCCATGACGAGTCATGTGCCAAATATAAGACATCCTTTCTTCCTAAAAACTTCCACAGCTAGACAAAACTCTCCCCCAAGGATTTCCACAACGTTCAGTCCCTTTCCTAGGTCGGTAACCTTTACGAGGTCCATCGAGTGAGAAGTCTGACTTTTGTAGGGTTGCCAACTATAAGTGTTAAAAACAGTATTATTCTGTTTTCCAATACATAATAATTTTTACTGTTGAACAAAAAGTAGACAAAATACCGTTTTCAGCAAACATCACTAGTAGTGTCTATCTATGGTATGCATAGATAAATGTCCAACACTACATTTAGGTGCGCGATGTAGAGTTAAACTGTTTTTTTTAATACTGTCTGTTTTCCTTCTTTGATACTTTTTTTTTTAAAGTTAGCAACCCTAGTTCCAGGCTCGTAGGACTAAATTTAAAGATTGTACTCTATTATACTTACCGTAGCAAGTCACTGAACTCTGCTTAGTTTTTTTCAGCCAGCTAGTCTTTAAAAATAATTAGCCTTAAAGATCATAATGAATCCGAGAAAAAATAACAATATTCGACGCGTTATTGTCACTTCATTTACATCTAACTACAAATAATCGTAAACGTACAATTAAAATCAAATTTATTCAATTAATACCGTTAAAAATAACTTTAAAACTTCTCTTGTAGCGTTGCAGTTTTGGCTGTTTTCACAAATTGATNGTGCGAGACCCGTTGGACCCCGGAAGAAGAGAGGAACGTTCAGGGTAACGGCTTGTAACCGCATGGCTTCCAAGGTACCCACTTTTCCATCCTTCAAGTAGGAGTCTTTCCGACCTGACATCGCGCAGTTATCTTAACTATTAGAGTCTTTAAATATTTAGGCTGAGTTTTAAGAAATTTGTAGTGGCAATAATATTCACCAAACCGAACCTAATTAACGACCCTGAATCCCTTGAGATTGGCACTATTACAGTAGTTATTATAATATCGTAATTGTTAACTGTATATGAGCATATAGATAAAAATAAATTGTGTCAATTGAGAGGGAGCTGTTTTATTTAAATTTTTTTAATTTCACACAAGGAACGGTACTTATATAAATTTCTGCAAGCCGGACAACCTCTTTTCCACGTGCAGACAATTCACCATCGTCTCCGTCTGCACCGGTGGCGGTTCAATTCCAGTCACCAAGCCGCCAGGGAAAAATCCTTTCTTGCACTCTAAATGATTGACTTCGGTCTTGAAATCTTGATTTATTGGCACAAACATTGTGAAAATTCGCAAATTCTTCGGTTCCATTGCGCTCTAGAATTAAAAAAACAATTTAGAGATTGTCTATGAACAAAAAAGTTAATAAACGAAAAAGTTTTTATTTATACTCCAATAATGTCCGCGCTATCCGCCAAAGCGAAGAGAAGTAATGTGTTTGAATAACCAATCAGATTTCTTTACATCTCCGCTCCACTGAAAGTCGAACCTTTATTATTATTATTGATTTTTTGGGCCTTCATTTGCGCCAGCTCGACCAGCCCCCCTAGACAAAACGCACTTTTTGATCGAATCGAAAATCGAATCCGTCAAAACTCCATACAAAAAAGGGGCTTTTCGACCACTTTTCGACTGGTTTGCGATTATAATTTGCACTTTGTCTAGACCCACAGGTTTGATCTATTGTGGCAGCCCTTGTGTTTAGAGTTCACTTCATCACTTGAGTCGAACCTTAACTTCGAACTGTATAATTTAGGGTTCATTGACAATTTAACTTTCCCCCGGGACAAACTTGACCTTCATTGGTTGGGTTTTTATTGGCGGTCAAGCTGTAGATCCTGGCTACACAGGAGTTGCAGCGGTGGGAACGAGAGGTGGGAATAGTCCCCTTTCACCTCTCCACTTAGCTTCGGTTCTGAAATCTAACTGGTTATTCAAACACGTCATCTCTCCGCTTTGGTAGAAAACGTGCCTTATGCCCGTTTTCACCATCAATCCCTAATTTTTAAGTGATCCCTATGGTAACACATAACAGGAATTTTGTTTTCATAGGGGTCACTTAACACAGCACACTAAAAATTAGGGATTGATGGTGAAAACGGGCATTAGTGATAGGATAAGAAGGGCTGAGTTTCTTGCGCTGCTTCTCAGCACTCAACTGGCCCATTTATTGTTCCGAAGCAGTGGTAGGGTTAATACTGGGACGTATAAAAGTGCTTTTTAAAAGTCTACTTGCAAAAATAAAATGAGTTTTAATAAGTTTAGAGTAGTATGAAAATCCTACTCAAAACTTATTAAAACCTAGTAATGAAGCCGTGTGGTGACGGCAGAGTAGAATACATTTGTCACCAACCCCTACTCTTCCCGCGGGTGTCGTAAGAGGCGACTTAGGGACTACACATCAAACAGAGAACGGGCAGCAGCGCTCTCTGAAAAACATCAATCTTTTAAACTGCGATCTCCAACCCGCCTGCCAAGCGTGGAGATTATGGCAAAACCCTCCACTATAGTGGAGGAGGCTCATAGTCCAGCAGTGGACTGTAAACGGCTGTTGATGATGATGAGTATGTAAATCCAGAGTCACACAACTAAAACTTCCGATGTCTATTAAAAAGTATTGTTAGCTCAATTAAGTCTAGCTCAATTAACTCAAAGTTCGATCGATATCCACTCAGGTGATTGTACTTGATTGAGTGTAACAAACCCGAGACCTTTGGTACAATAGCTCACTTAGGAACTATTAATAATTTCTAGGGGTATTTCACCCCAAAACAAAACAATGGCCCTTGGAAATATAAATCAAATTCTATTGATAGAAACTAACTCTACGAGTACGACATGCCCTTACGAGCATGTCAAGATAAATTTAACCGCTTCTGTGGTCTAGTGGTAAGAGCACCTGCTTCAGACGCAGAGGTCCCGGGTTCGATTCCCAGTGGGGGCAGATTGTCGCCATAACAACAATGTTAATAGCATTATTGTGTTCAGGCAGTTAGAGGTGTGGTAATATAGCCAGTTCCTCCGTGGTTGAGGATTCCAGGTGAAGCTCGCTTCCACCTTCTGCCTGTTACCATCAGGTGAGATACAGACCAAGAGCTTCCTCGTTTTGGATAAAAAAAATTTTGAGGGGAGCCTATTGGCGCAGTGGCTCACTAATTTTCTTTTTTTTCTCTTCGTGTTGTGTTGTTATTTATTTATTTTATTTGGTTCACAAAACAGGGATACAGGGATTGTTTATAAATTGTGCTCACTGTGTCAATAAAATCCATTTTATTTCTATTCTATCATCAAAAAGAGCCTCTATTCAAAAGGGGCTACTTCCATTTTGAACATTTTTTTCATCCATCCATACATCGCCCTATCCTCAAGTTTGATCAAATCAAAATCAAGATCAGCTGTATTTTTTGTACAAAAAACTGCATCTATTGCATGTGACATAGAACTTCTAGCTTGATGTATCGTCGTCTGTACATATACATAACATACTTTGGTAAAAACTTAGAAATCAACAAACCTCACCATATTTTACCACAGCGCAGCCTTGAACTAATAAGATTGCGTTGATAATTCAATTACCAGTTTCGACACAGCAACTGTTTCGCGGTAATCCGGTATTTAGGTGTTGTTTGCAATGAACTTATTTATTTATTATTACACCAAACAAAAACTTGGCCCAAAATACTCCTATTATTCTTTAAAACCAGCTGGGTATAGATGAACTAGACATACAACGAAATAAGTCGCAGTAGTTCCTTATAGGTTCCGTCAGGTTCCGTCAAAGACTACCAGTAAAAATCTCTTCCTAATGATACCGCGAAGTAAATCGGGACAGCGCCATCTCTTAGTCAATATTAGATCTAAACTTATCATATACCTTCTTGCTAATAATTCTGTCCCATCCTTCTATTTACTTAGCCAAAGACAATGCAATGTGAAAATACCTACGCCAAAGATTATCTTACTAGCAGTCTTATTTGTTTATCGGTCTCTTTCTGTCAAATGCTGATTTCAGTGTAATGGAAAGAGACAAAACCTTCCTTTCTTAACATAAAAGTAACGCGTAAATAAAGACAAAGCCAGTTCTAAACTAACTGATGATGCCATCTAAAGGTGAACTTTCAATTCATCAATAACACATACGTAGTTAGGTACTTTACGATCGATTTGGTGTGGTTTTAAATAAACATCTAACGAACATGATGTCATGGATGCAGATGACGTTACCTTAGTGTAATCAACATCTAATTTACAATGATTTGTCATTATTTTCTTGGAGACGCGTCACCTGTGACTTTGAGTAGTTAATTTAAGAATTCTTGTATTTATTTTTGGTTCGTTTTATAGGCAGAACAAAGTAACTCTGTAGGTAGTATGTATAAAGCCGGGTCTCCGTGTGTTTAGCCTAACACAATCAACATTCAACAAAACTGCCTACAAAAATGTTGAATGTTGACATGTTGTTGTTGTTGATTGTGTAGGGCAAAACACGAGGAGACCCGGCTTAACTGTGGCACTGTACAATGATGTTCTTTTTTTTACATGAAGTAAAATTGCATGAGTGACGTTTCAAGATCCGAAATTACCGAAATATAACAAATAAAAACATATTATTATCATCAAAAAAAAATGTTCAGTTTAGACCACAAGTGGCGTGAACGTCAAAATGTAAATAATAAAAAAGAAAAGGTAGCCCTTATGGGGCACTTTACATGTCTCCTTATCTTTTGGGCCCATCCTTTTTGGAAGCTGTTAAAATAAAAAAAGACTTATTTTTGTTTGTTATCTTATTCTAAGTAAATAATTAAACTTACCGGTGTTCGCCTATGAAGTAGCGTGCCCACTGGACTGGGGATCTTTGTAGGTGTCCCACCCATGGGACTACGAGCTGGAACAAACAAAAATACATTTAATTAGCTAGAAAAAAGTCTCATGCCCGTTTTCACCATTTTTAAGTGACCCCTATGAAAACAAAATTCCTGTTGTGTTACCATAGGGGTCACTTAAAAATTAGGGATTGATGGTAAAAACGGGCATCAATCTACTATCATAGTATTCTCTCTGAAACTATGTTCTTTGGAAACATACAGATGATGAGTGATTCCACCTACACTTGTTTCTGCTATAATAATTATACTAATCTTGTTGCGACAAGGAAAATTTTGAGAAAAATATTATTGGCAAGTCCTTAGTAAAATGCAAAGTACTGTGTCGTTTATTTCTTTTCATAATTGTTTGTTATTTGTCATCTGTTTTCCGTTGGATTATCGTCGATCCTTAACTTCGCATTGGAACTCTACTATTTTTCATTGATTAATTTCGTTGCAGGTCAAATGACAGTTTAAGTTTCCCCCGGGACCAACTTGGCCTTTACTAGTTTGGTATTTATTGGCAGTCAAGCTGTAAATCCTGGCTACACAGGAGTTGCAGCGGTGGGAACGAGAGGTAACAATATCCCGTACCAATATGGTACAGTATTGTAAACTACGGATATTAGATACCGATTAGTATGTCAATTCCAAAATTGTCAGTCTAAACCCGTCATCATCATCGTCATCATCATCATCATCATCATCATCATCAACAGCCCTTTACAGTCCACTGCTGGACTATGAGCCTCCTCCACTATAGTGGAGGGTTTTGCCATAATCTCCACGCTTGGCAGGCGGGTTGGAGATCGCAGTTTAAAAGATTGATGTTTTTCAGAGAGCGCTGCTGCCCGTTCTCTGTTTGATGTGTAGTCCCTAAGTCGCCTCTTACGACACCCGCGGGAAGAGTAGGGGTTGGTGACAAATTCCGTTCCAAATTTCAGATTGCATAAGATTGGTAATTGATTTATGGGAAAATGTATTAAATTCTTTAATAAATTACCACAAACTGTTGTAGAACTACCCATTCATAAATTCAAAGCACATATTAAAATGAAAAAGGGCTACTATAAAGTAGATGATTATTTAAAAGATAAAAATGTTTGGGATACGTTACTGCCTAGCTCGCATAAATATTTATTTATAACTTTGTACATTTTAAAGCATGTAAACCTTTGAAAAAGAGGCTGACAATAGTGACATTAGTGACTGAGTTTCTTGCGCTGCTTCTTCTCAGCACTGGCCCATTTATTGTCCTGAAGCAGTGGTAGGGTTAATACTGGGACGTGTAAAAGTGCTTTTTTTAAGCCTATTTACAGAAATAAATGAGTTTTAATTCAAATGTTGTATTCTACATGGTATAAATCCGTATTAAATTTATATTCATTGGCTGTAATATTCACTTGATTTGGGTTAAGTGACAAGTTATACAAAATCAAATCAACAAGAACCAATCCAAAGAAGACCATAACATAGTTTCGTGGCTTCTGTAACTCTGCTTTAGCACTAATAGCAATAAAACGTACCATTTTTAGATCTTTAGTGCATAAACATTGTTTTAGCTTCTGTATCCATTTTAGGACATCGCCAACACAATATTCAAAGAGTATAGGTCGCGACTTCCGTATTCGCCATCTTAGACACAACATAGCATAATACATAGCTGAGTCATATAAGTGGGCGTACGAGTTATGTAAATAATCACAGATGAGCTTAACGATGGTGTAAAGGTGATAATTGGGATTTTTTATGTGTTTAGAGATACTATTTTGCGAAATATTTGGAAGTCGTTATTATTATGTTAAGGTTTTTAGTTGAGTCGAGTTTTTGGGTTGAAAAGAGACAAAGACAGCGAATATCTGGTTCAAGATATTTTGTTCATATGGCATTGACAACATAAATATTTTATTAATATTAATAACATATCCCAAATGTCTTCCAGATTGGCCGGTAGCAAGCAGCCTACATCCAGCGCCTTCCTGCAACCTTTATGAGGTCATCTGTCATCTAGAAATCATTGGGGAAGGCCTATGTTCAGCAGTGGACGTCCTATAAAATTATGATGATGGTGATGAATATTAATGAGGGTTTTCGCGTATGAAAGATCCGCTAGATGGCGGGACGTGGATGTGGGGTCTGACTGCTGCGTGATTGGTGGATTTGGACATATCTGTCAAAAATAACCAATCATGCAGCATTTGGACCTTGCGTCTACGTATTGCCATCTGGCGGATTTTTCATACGCGAAAACCCTCATTAAATAAGTGTATCAATTTGTAAAGGTCGATAGGCATTCTACTGGAGGCAATAAGTAAGATATTTTTATTGCAAAAAACACATTTTGCAATAACTTCAAAAGCAAAAACACTTACGTCAATGTATTGCTTGTGTTCAAGGATTGCACTCGAAGGTTGAAGTTAAATAAATTCAGTTGGTTAACGTTTTGAAAGCCAAGTTTACTGGCTACACCTGTGCTCATACTGTTGACCTAGCAGGATTGTTTAAACATTGTAACTTTAGTACTTATGACGAAAATAGGATGGCCAATAGTGTAAAACGTTGTAACTGGCGTTGCTAAATGATACGCTAGAAATTTTTAGCTATTTACTTATTTATATTTTGAAACTATATTATGCCATTTTACACATTATAAAATATGTGTTTACATAGATGATGCAAACATGTCATGATTCAAAAAGTTAAAATGAAACTGGAAAGTTTTGAAAAATCTTAGTTTTCCGGGAAGAAATTACGTGTTTTACAAACTAATTAGCATGATAAAAAAACGTAGGAAAATAAAATTGAATTATTTTCTACTGGTTTTCAAGGTAAGCTTAGTGTTTTGAACTCTAAATTCACTGTAAAGTTTCTTCCAACCTATCAAACATCCTCTATATTGCACATAACATAATATGCGAAGTCACGGGATAAGTCAACATTAATTACAAACGTGGTTAGTGCGATGTGGAAGTCATTGGGGGAGGCCTATGTTCAGCAGTGGACGTCCTGTGGCTGAATTGATGATGATGATGATGAATTACAAACAGATAAAAAATCACCGAAAAACCGAATTATTGCGAATAAATATAATTTTATATGAATATGAAAATGTTTTGACTCCAATTCGCGAAATATTCTTAACGCATCAGCGGCCGAGGCAGAGACAACTCGTTTCTATTGTGCGTACGCGTTTAATATTGATACGATATAATAATGCAGGCGAAACTAAGTACTAGGTGAATGCACGGAGGCGCACGCGTCGTTTTTATTGTTTGAAGTTGTTAAAGCGACGCGCGCGCATGTTTGTTGGATCAATTCTGACATATCACCGGAAGAAAGTGTTAACAATTACTGTTCTTCATTCACTGACATTATAATTCCCGTTTTCACCATCAATCCCTAATTTTTAAGTGACCCCTATGTAAATAAAATTCCTGTTATGTGGTACCAAACGGACATAAGAGTTGCACCCGTATTCACAAACATTAAGCTATGAGGTCTCAAAGTGCGCGTGGACTCACCACAGGGTGACACACGACACGAACCAATCACAGAGCTCTATTCATCGCTGTGCGTTCGATTTGCTGCTTCACATAAGCAAGCATCGTTTGTGAATACGGGCGTTATTTTTGTCATCTTTTATTTATTTATTTACTAGCTTTCCGCCCGCGGCTTCGCCCGCGTGGAATTTTGTCTGTCAAAGAAAAACTTTATCGCGCGCGTCCCTGTTTCAAAAACCGGGATAAAAACTATCCTATGTTCTTTCCTGGGACTCAAACTATCTCTATGCCAAATTTCATCAAAAGGTTTAAGCGGGAAAGCGTAACAGACAGACAGACAGACAGACAGACAGAGTTACTTTCGCATTTATAATATTAGTTGGGATTTATCTGTCATCCGCTTTGCACTGCACTCACTGGTACTGGGGAAAAGTCAATTCTTAACTTCGTTCGAACTCCTATGTTCTTCTGATTAATTTCGTTGCGGGTCCAATGACAGCTTAACTTTCTCCGGGACAAACTTGACCTGTAGCAGTTGGGTTTTTATTTGCGGTCAAGCTGCAGGTGTTGACTGTTGTTACTTGTTACCTTAACACAGTTGATCAGCGGTGTGAACGAGAGGTGGGAATGGTTCAAATAATCCTCTACATAACTAGCGATTCGCTCCAGTTTCGAACGAATGCAATATCTTTATCTTCAAAGTCAAACAGTATAGTTGTAACCTGTTAATCAGTATGGAGATGTATGAAAGTGCGTACATTACACCGATTTGGTATCGGCCGATTCTTCATACAAATTAGAATCTTCTTCATACAAATGAGTCGATGAATCAAAATAAAGTTGAGTTTGGGACTTTTATTATCGCATCGCGTCGTAGGTTTTGATTATTATACATTTTTATCGTTATTTCGGAACCACAATGAACTGACGTTAGGTAGAACATGCACTTTTATCGCATTTTTTTTCTTATCGTTATCATTCTTTGTTATCCGGGTGCTAATCGCATTATCACAATGGAGTAAGGCACATTGTTGCTTGCTCTAATTTGTCACTGATAAGCTGATAAAACGTAATGTTCAGTGTGTTTTGTTTGTTGTTTCAACATGTTTAGGTTTACTAAGTGTTTCTTTTTTCATATTTTTGAAAATCTTATGCCCGTTTTCACCATCAATCCCTAATTTTTAAGTGACCCCTATGAAAACAAAATGCCTGTTATGTGATACCATAGGGGTCACTTAAAAATTAGGGATTGATGGTGAAAACGGGCATTACACTCCACAGCCTGATTTTTAGCTTAGACGTAGACCACCTTTTAAGTAGTTGGCCGATAGTTGGGCCCGATTCTAATTTGTATGAAGAATCGGCCATATCAAATCGGTGTAGTGTGCGCACTTTCATACATGTCCATACTAATTAACAGCCCAATCTAACTATCGGCCAACTAACAGTCGGTGGTCTGCGTCTAGGCTTAGGCTAGTATAAGATCTTGGCCGATATGGGCCCCCAGAATAGAGGGACTC